TCCAAAAACGTCGCAGGGGGGGGGGGGGGGAGATGAGGGGCAGTGAGCCCGTGGCTCACCCTGAGGGAAAATTGTTGCGCTGAATACTGGGTTACTTCACGGGAGTTTGGTCAAATTTTGAGGAATTTTGAGAAAACTGACATCCCCGCCTACCAGAAACATTTTCGTTACGTGCCTGGCACCCACCAACACTTTTACAAAGTTCCAACGCTGGTGGAAAGCCCATACTTTTGTGCAAGTTGAGCGCTGGATTAGCCATTTTTTCGTATTCAGCATACCCAGCCTATTTAGCAACACTGCGTTCCTTATCCTTTCGATCCCAACATTATCCTCAGAGGGGAGGGGAATGTCAAATTTCCTCTGGAATCCTGCAAATTTAAACCTAAGCTTAGGCAAAATTGACCAGTATCTAGTGAAACCTTGTCTCAGGGTGGGGGAAGGAAAAGAAGGGTGGGGAGGGAGAGGAAGGGGCATGGACCCGCGCTCGGCTACGTTCCTATCTTGAAACATGTGATGAAAAAATAGCCCAGAGCCCCGTGCTTTTGGACCTATCGCTTACAGCATTTAACTTAAAAACACGAAACACGGACCGGAACACGGACCGACCGGACCGACACTTTAAACACACGAACGGCCCAAAACAAACACCGCGTGTCACCGTGTCGGCACTGAGCTCTCCCAACCAAAGCTGAATCAACAATCTGGTGAACAATAGACAAAAATAAAAATAAAAACTGTTGAAAACTTAAATTCTTGGTATTTGCGATGCACGTCACAAATAGCAGGAGCCCACCTGGCTCGTATAGGAAAGTATTTACTCACAATGTCGAGCTCCTCCATTCCTTTCATCTGTTTTAGTTTCCGTTGCCCAGCCATTTGTAATAATTCCCAACACCTAAGGAAAATTTATAGGTAGTGATTCTGCTATGATTCACAGGTTCTTTTGGGGAAGGGGACACATATGTGATGGCCCCCTAAAGGCTTTTTGAGCGATAGGACCGTGACCGTCTTGCCCCTCCCCCCCCCCCCCGCCCTACTGGATCCGCCAGAGGCAATGCCTTCTGCTTGAAGCCTACCTATATTATCCAGGAGGTACATGGCATCTTACAATGAATGCGCAAAAAGAAGTACCAGTTATACAGCTCACATGGTTGGAACCAGTCAAGTCTCGCCAGTTGCTTGGCAGTTTACATGCGAATTTTCCAAAAAGACAATCCTACCAGCACATCAAGCATACCAAGCGCGCAACTCCAAGCATGCAACTGCCCATGTCACCAACCTGTTGTTCCGTGTCTTCGAATGAGAGCGTGAGCGGGAACGGGAGCGAACACGGGAACGGGAACGGGAACGGGAGCCAGAGCGTGACCTCGACCGCGATGAGGACGACGTAGACGACGACGAGGAAGAGGAAGACGGCGATCGTTTATCGCTGCTGCCTCCATCCTCTTTCTTGGTCTCCTTGGCGTCGACATCCTCGGCGCCCCAGGCGCTTAGATCGTATTTAGACAGGTCATCGTCCCCCTCATCATCGTCATCTTCGTCGTCGTCATTCTCTTCTTCATCTTGCTCGTTTGCCGCACCTTTGGTGTACATCTGCAATGGCATGGTCTGGTATCTGAGCGCACCAGAGCAAGTTGGGAGAGATTACACAGCCCTATATTGCTGCAAGACAAAAATTTTCGGTAAGTACAAAGTCAAGGAGATTGGGAACATTTGTTTTCAGCCAGTTGGTCTGGATGGCATTGATTTTCGGTTCCTAAATCAATTAAACCATTATGCTCACCACATCCTACATCACACTAATAATTGCAATTCATGATATGCTATTTTTGTGTCTGAGACCAGTAACAAAGATTCATCCATTTTTTCTCAATTAAAAAATGCAATAACGAGTACACATAGCATTTTACACTCACAAATACCATGAGGAATCAATTTTGTCTGACAAGTGGGCTGCAACTAGCCAGAATATCCCAGACTATGGGTTTGATCCCATCACATTGGGTTGAATGGAGTCAAATGGCGTCATGATTTGGAGGCTTAGGCAACATGTATGTTGGTGTTACATATTGTTTGTTATCAAGGTGATACATGTTAGCGATTTTGATCTGGTCTCAATACTGCATGCCGTGTTATAACTGAAACTTCACTGCCCTTGCCTATAGACACATTTGTAGGTGCAGGTATAGTTGTTTGCACATGGTTGTTGTTTAGTTGGCTAAAATCAATGTTCTGTTCTCATCTGCCTTGGGCTGGAAACTAAAAATGTGACTTACACCAAATATTGGATACTAAATCCTCTGCCCTGAGAGAACTGCATGGTTCGCGTGAGTGACGGGAGTGCGGGCGGGTCCGCAATATCGCCGTTCGCCACTGAAGCGTACTTTTCAAGATCCCAAGCGGGCGGGTCTGACTTACCGACTCCGCTGTCCGGGGCGCCGGCGGTATGCCTGTCCGAAACTTCTTCTTTTTCCGACCAAACTGCAGTAGGCAAAGAAAACATATCAAGGGTGGAGCATCCAGCGCGGCTAGGGGTGCGCCAGTCACTGCAAGACACACGGTGCCGACGAGTCTGTTAGTGTTTTCAGGGGTTCGACCATTCTCCCGGGTGATATTCGACCAAGAAAGAAAAGCTGTTCACGAGCACATTTTGCTTTTGAACATTTCTAACTTTTCAACCAGTCCAGTGACGCGCATCAGGGCACCGCGATGGATCTTTATGCCGTACAATCTGCCCTGTCCCAGATGATGGGATGCACTAAGTCAATGAGAGCCGACACGACGGATTTGAGAACAATTCACACAGGTTCACGTCGGTTCACGTTCCAACGAAGCTTCACCAGAAGGTTCACACCAGCTAACCAAAAATTCACACTGGCTCGCCGAAGGTTCACACCGGTTCACCGAAGGTTTATACAGGTTCAATGAAGGTTCATATCGGTCCACCGAAGGTTTACACCAGTCCGCCGAAGGTTCACACAGGTTCACACAGAACAGGTCACAAAGGTTCGCCGAAGGTCCAGCGAAAATGCGACGACAGGCGGCCCGACCAGGAGTGTGTCCAGCAGCGTGGACCTAGAAGGATGGGACTCTAACACGCGAGGGTCACTTGGGAGGGGGCGCCACCCATCAGCGGAGGTCACCGGAGGGGCAAACGCGGCAGGGTGACGCACGGACGACCACACACGATGGACGCGCCCGGAAGCCGGCGGCCACGCACCTCGTCGTACTCATCGTCGGACTCGACGCGCTCCTTGTACTCGACGCCGTCACGCTCATTGTAGCCGCCACCGAAGCCGGTTCGCTCCTCCACGTCGCCCACCTTCGGCGCGTTGCACACGTTGCAGGTGGACCGGCGCGCCCAGTTGACGTTGCCACACCTGTCAGCGATCGCACACGTGCTCCGAAGGGCCTGCCATGATCGGAAGGCGGCGACGCTATCATACCCGCAGTTGACTCCTGTGGGCTTTACATGTGACATGGGACGAGATGTGTGTGAACAAGTCAATGACACTATTTCAACAGACGTCTGAGTACATCCTCATGTTGTAAAGAAAGCATGTGGTGTCATGCTTTGCAACATCAGATATAACTGAATATAACTGGATCCAATAGGCACCATTGTTGATGCCTTCAGGAAACTGAAAATTCATGGCCTTGCCTGCCCCTGGAAAACAGAGTATACCAACTTGTTACACTGCCAATCATCAGCACTGAAGAGGCCCTTGCTCTTGTCTGCTGCAGCCTTTCCAATTTCAATACCAAACTTCCTCTTGCTGGCTAGATCCTTGGGTTTGTTGGCACCACACCGGTTGCATGACATCCGACGAGCAAAATTTAGGTTGCCGCATCTGGAAAGGAAGACATACAATCAATGCAATATTTCATTTTGAAGCACACACACTGGTGGGAATTACATCTATGCCAAAAGGCAGACATGAAACTTCTGTACATCACGTACCATTTGCCTCTGCATTTAATCAAAATGAGGTGCTAGGCCAGCACATCTTGCTGCCCACAATATCATGCTTCATTTATCTTGTGTTTGGGTGATCAAGCTGAGGACCAAATGAAAATTCCTTCAAACCATGACCCAACCTATCAATTAAATTATAGATGAGATACCAGCAAAACTTCAGATAGGTGCTGGGTATAACCTGCTGTGGCACTGCACTATTTGATACAATTTATTGCTCAAATCTTGCCAACTAGGGTCACATTCAAACATTTATCACTTGCTTTAAAATATATCAGTAACGTTGGTCTGCTTGAAACAATGGATGCTGTGGATCAAATCATCACAATCATGGTTCAGCTCACTATGTCAGAATCAATCTGAATAATAAGAGGTTGACTTAACATGAGTATGCACAGGGAAAAATCACATGAAAACAAAAGTGTGCTAGGCAAAAACATGAACCATTGGAGACATGAGCTGATGTGGCATAAGCCAGTGCGGGCTTACTTGGATGAAGTACACAGCCAGTCCCCTTCTGAGGGTCCATGGGTGCTGCTCCCAGACATCCCAATCCAGTATTCAATGGCCTGCAATAGGAAAAAAAATATGATACATGATGTCCATACAGTGCACATGGACTTGTCAACCACTATCAGAGCATTAGTGCTGGTGGAAGCAGGTACTTGGAGACCAAAAGATGCTACCAAGGATGGACAATCACACAGGCTTCCATGATTCTGTGGTGGGCAGATAATTCCATGGATATATCCTTCTCCAACTGTCTCACAGATATAAGAATGGATGGGAAATGAAAAATGATGGAAAATGATGATGGAAAATAAGGTGCCCACCTGAAATTAATGTGAATAAAGAGCAGTCAGTATCTTAAGCTTAGCCTAAGAGTATGCACTTTTCACCACATACCCATTACATCAGCCATGCACCTAGCTACCAAGCATGTGTTCTGCTGAGATTGTAACGGCCTCTGACTGAGAGAGAGGGAGACATGCGTGTGGACCCATAAAAGGATCTCAGGGTCAGACTTGCAAGTGCCTGGTTCTAAGAAATTATTTTCAATTAAAGGGGATTTCCTGCAATCTACACTTAGCATTAATTTTGTGAAGCAATCACATGTTGTTGTGGTGCTTTTTGTGGTTTTGTTTATGATCCTCACTTCTGACCTTTCATGATGTTGATCCAGCATTTATTTGTATTGTTTGAAAATGTACAGATACCCATATGCAATGGCACCTTTCCATATTACTGATTCAGCATAATATTTCAATTGTTTAAAAGTCTACAGATATACATTTCAATGATACAACTACAATAAATCATCATCAAGCCATGTCAATACACGAGGCACCTGTCATTATGTCAGCTGTCATGTCAGAAGCCATTTGATCAATGGAAGCAGCAATCATGACAGACTTGTCATCCCTGTGATCTCTGCTACCATTCTTCCATGCAATTTTCATGGTAAAACACTTCAATTGCAGTCGAAAAAATAATAAATTAGGTTTATAATTTTGTAGATTGCTAAAAAACTGCATACACCACATTCATGTTTCATGTATTTCTAAAAACATTCTTGCATGATTTAGCAAAAATCAACGGCCGTGGTTTGCTTATTTACAGCACTCAAAAACAACTCAAAGTATGTTGATCGCCCTTTTTTTAAAAAGAAAACACCATCAACAGCCAGAAACCGGAATACCGCAACCCCTTACCTACAAGTACAATGACTACACGCTCGTACAACGCCGGTTGTGAAGGAAAGTTCATGTTAGGTATTGTGTTTTAAATCTTTCATGACGTCACTGGAAGCTCTAACAAATGGGTTACGCTACTATTGTGATTTGATGTACTCGTAAAGGACATCCGTTTAGTGCTTAATTTTCGCATTCGTTCAGCAGAGTTTCAATTTTGTTGAATAGGTGCGTGAGATGCAGAATTAGATTATGAAACACGAAATATGACAGATATTTTTTAGTACCAGCATACCTTCAAGGTCAAGCTCAATGCCAAATAACGGGAAGCTTCGTTTCACCCGATAGTTTTCCGAGGATTTCAGATTTTTAAGCATAAGGGTATTCTATGGCACATAAACTAGCGTCCGTCTAAAATTCTTGACCCCTGAACGTCACTCTACAAAGTCAAATCGGTGTATTATAAATATATACATATACTAGCGTCTGATACTGCAGGATTTTGTCGTTAGTGGTGGCAATGATTTGTGCAGAATTGGCACGCAAATAACATTTTCAGTACGCGTTTATCATGAGCCAGCTTGCCTAGCCATTCTACCTCACACTTGGCAATTGTTATCACAATGGGCGTCGGTTTCCCAAAATGATGGGAGGGGCCGAGCAATCCCGGAAGTTACCAAAAAGGACTTGTACAAAACGCTTTTTGGATTTCGGCTTCTTGTGTTCTGGTTAGCTATTAAAGCTTACATCCACTATATGTTCTTTTAAAAGCTCGGGTGTAGCCACAGTGGACAATTTCGTGGCAATCTGGACGGGGCAATCACGTGTGGACAGGCTTATACGTGCCTACATTGCCAGCTGGCAGTTTGAATCAGTTTCGTGTAACCGCAGATGTTCTGTGAAGCTAACGAGATGCAGTTGCAACTCTTCAGCACTTTGAAAAAATGCAATCTGGGTGTTATCCGCCATGATCTGCTCAGCTAATTAGTCGTGCATGTGATGACGCACCACTGATGATGATGATGATGATAATGATGTTGATGATGATGATGATGATGATGATGCACAACCGGTCCCCTCCTCGATGCGGCTGGTCCTCGGCCCTCGCTGATGCAAACGAACTCTTTATCACTGGCACAGGAAGTTCAATCATTGGTACCGAGACACCTATTCTCCTTACCGGTCCCTGGTTGAAATGGTGCGGAGGATCCCTCGTCCGGCACAGGTGTCCTTGACTGGCACAGGCCTCTCCACTGTAATATTGTACATGTGGACCTTTTTTGTCATTTTCCATGAATCCTTTCATCGCCAGGAGAGGCCAGACCAGCACAATAGGCGCTTTCGCATACGGGGTCCCATCATCATCTCTATCCAGCAAATGTGCTCACGGCTCATGGTCTCCTGCAATTCAGCAAATGTGCTCCTGGCAGACCTGGGGCTCACTGCCGACACATGGTCTCCTGGTTAGGTGCCCACTGACTAGCAATGTGTGTCCTTCATTGTGTCAGGTGTCCTGACCAATGAAGGATGCCTTCGGAATTGACAATTAGAGATCTTGGCCTTGTCCCTGCTTGGGAAATAACCCTTAGGCCCCAGAATGTTACGGAACGGATTGTTCGATATTGCTGTTCTCAGTCAGCTGCCTCAATCAGAGACACAGTGGCACGTAGACTCCGATGAGTGCTAGAGCTACTCTGACATTTTAGGGTCCGACCTTCGGGCTATATCCCTCCATACGACCTCTGACCTGCCCTTTGGACCCTTTAATCGGGCCCCTGATCTTCAGCCCCAAGGGACCAAACAAGGACCCTCGGGAACCATGGGACTCTCAGAGCCTAAGAGGTGGAGTGGGCGGATGTCGTGCTGAAATTGGTTCCTCGGGAAAATATAGCTTTATGGGCCATTTTAAGTGCCCCTGGAATTCTGCATCGCTTTAAGATGAATGTTTGGGCTGATTGTGGTGTTCCAGTTAAAACTAGGTGCTCAAAACAATAAATGTTATGATGCGCTGGAATCTAGGTTCTTGATGCCTTTCCACCGAAGGTGCCGAACCAGGGTTTCGTCAGAGTGTACGGCAGAGGAAATGTGATGCCCCTGTATTCCGGTGCCCATTGATAGGGAAGCTTTTGACCACTGTTCCTTCAATCGCCCACTTGCATTTGTTGTCTCAAGGAAATAAATACTGTGGTGGTCCGAAAGAAACGTGTCCATTGGCCGAATGGGCCGATGAGGATTTAGAAAATTGAGAGGCACGGGAATTGTGATGACTCCTGCAGTTATGTTCCCCTGGAATATGAATGTCATAATGCCCCGAAAAGAATGCTGCTGGTAAGAGGCTTAGGGCGACAATAGTGTAGTGGTTAGCGCGCTTGCGTTAACTACTGTGCACCTGGGAAACCAGAGATGCGGGGTTCGATTCCCCATAGTGCCCGCACTTCCTGCCAGGGTGAGAGGCAGGCGATGTCATATAGCCTCAGCAGCTATGTGCGTCGCTAAGCCCAAATGATAACGAAGCTATTGGTGCCTGTTTCCCTGAACGGAGTGCCCCTTCCCTGAGCGATCCGATTCATAATTTTTCCAGAGTAAAAGGCACACTGATCGTGATGCCCTTGGATTTTGGTGCCCTTTTGAAATTATGGTTTGGGCTTTGTATATGGCTCGCTTTGATGTTGTACCTCTTGAATGTAGATGATGCTGCCCCGGAAGGAAGGATTTTGTGCCTCCTTGTCCAAGGGTCCGATCCAGGATTTTAGCAGGGCGGCAACATAGTTATATGCCTGGAATTCATGGCTCTCAGAATAGTGGATCGGGGCTCTTTCTGGCTCTCTCTGGAATTGGGTGCTTCTTGAAAATAAAGGTCATGGTGCCCCGAAATGAAGAGTTTAGTGCTCCCTCGCCGAATGGGCCGAGGCAGGATTTCATCAAGGGGAGTGACAGGAACGTTGCGGTGCCCTGCAACTTAGTGTTTCATAAAAATACGGGTTATGTGGTTCCGAAATAAACATATTGCTGCCCCTTCGCGATGCAATTTGGCGCCTCCTCGGGGGATCAAAATCCTTATGGAACCCAAGGGGAAGAAGCATGATCCCATGGTCTTTCCCCTATGGACCCGCCCCTGCTTTGCGGTGCCTCAGGAAATGTGTACCTCTGGAAAATAATAGCTACGATACCCGGTAATAAAGTTCTTTGGTACTCCCTCGTGGAACAGGTCAGTCCAAAAATTTGTCAATGTGGAAGGCATAGATATTGTGGTTTCCATGGATTTTAATCCCTATTTAAAACCAACGTTTTGTGGAATTTGAGTGGCCCACTTAAAGGCCTCTTTGAAATAAAGGTTATGGTGGACCGAAATGAAAGTTACGGTGCCCCAAATTCACGGTTTTGGTACCCCATAGCTCAAGGGGCCAATCCAGGATTTCGTCGGGGTGGGAGGCACAACATTGCTGTACCCCTGAAATAAAGTGCCCTTGGGAAATGAGGGCTTGGGGCCGGCTATGGTGGCCCCGGATTTCGCTGCATATCGAAAACAAATATTAGTGGTCATTTGTGGTGCCCCTGAAATTTTGAGCCTCCTGAAAATAAAGGTTATGGTGGATCCGACATGTGGATTTCGGTGCCCCTTTGCCACCACACTTTCCTGTCCCCTCGCCCCAAGGGACAGGGGCATAGCCCCATTCCCCTACCCCTTCCCACACCACTCTGGATCCGCCATTGGTCAAGGTCGGTTGCCATGGCATGCCTCCTCGCTTCAATGCGTAACTCGTTATGTGTTTCCCAAATTGTCATTCGGCTCCAGTGCGTAAGCCCCATTTATGTCAATTTGGCATGAGTTTATACCGAGCCGTGTTTATGACTACAAAGCCCCATTCTGCGCTCCGCAAAGTGTTATCTGTACGTGCTATGAAGCTGGCGCCTCTGTCACACGATACGTATGCACTGGGCAATGCTGCCTCTGAACTCTTCCCACCCAGGCTCTAAGCGCAAGTTTTCTTCCAGTCAACAGGTACCCACCAGTGGCTCAGGTACGCACGCTGTGTTGCTACATACGGCCCGCTGCTAGACGCCTACTCTATCGCGCCTCCCGTTTCAACAACATTTGCAATAAGCACGGCTCAAAGTGGTCTCTGCTGCCCTTGCCCTGAGCACACTGTTTACCTACCTCCATTACCAAAGACTAAGCAAAATAATGAAATGAACTGTGCATATAAAACTTTTCTTATCACTCCCATATTGAATATACCTGTATCGTGTTTCGATTTGCCTCGGTCTCATGTGAAGTTGGGTTCACTGCAGCTTGGCTTACGCGGTTACGGCCATCGGTTGCCGTGGCCACCAGCTGACTGTTGGCGCCATATCATTCCCGCCAACCTGTCTGTCTTCGCGTGCGTGAAGTCTGGCGCGTGGATGAAAATGTTCTGATGACATTCAAATTGGCCGAGCGGGGACGTTTCTCGCTTTCAGTTTCAAAGTACCGTAGTCGTCCACCACCGGACCACAAACAGATCATGACTTGCCGCATAGAAGTTGGTTTTCGGAGACGGGCTCAGTGTGAGATCAAACGAGGAGCAAGTACATATGGAAGGAAGCAAATACTCCTGCCTCACATGGTTGC